GACTGCAAACTTGTAAAACAGTATTATTCATGGGGGGCACAGTCTTCATCTGTGTGATTCACTACTAAATACATTCATTATAGCCATGTCTATTCTATGCAATTTGATACACAACACTGGTTTCTGAAAAAAAGAAGAAGAGACAATAGCATATAAACTGCTTTTGAATCCTTAAAAAGGAGAGTTCACACTGAGACTCTTCTGCTTTCTTTATTGGAAGAAGTCTCACAGTTACTTTGGTTGAATTCTGATGAGAACAACAGCCCCGGAGATAGACGGGGCAGAGAAACAACCAAAGTTTTACAATTATATCTAGACCATGTTTGCAAAATTTGGAATGGCAAGGAAGGAAGGAAGGAAGGAAGGAAGGAAGGAAGGAAGGAAGGAAGGAAGGAAGGAAGGAAGCAGGGGTAGGAGAAGGAAGCAGCATATATCTGAAATAAAATAAAGAGAAAAAGAGAAATAGAAACAATACTTTATAATCTTGGAAAAAATATGTAAATTTATTTATTCCCAACGAAGAATCAATCTCTGGCAATAGTTATATTTCTAATATTTAAATAAGCATTCCCACCCATTCCATATATTAAAGGTAGAAATCTAGCAGATAATTATCTCAGTATTTACTGAGATGTTTATATCATGTCTATATCATGGTTATATCATGTCTAGCACAGCCCGGCAAATTTGTACCTGTGATATTTGTAGGTATCATTGTGTGTCTGTATATATTTGTACTTTAAAAAAAATAGATTTGTATCCTTTTTTTCATCCACACACTCAAGGCTATATGCATAACCCCCATTTTCACTACCTGGTCCCCTCCAGACAATAGTCTGAAGTCCGGTCAGTAGACAACCACTGGAACCACTGGAACAAATTCAAGTAGATTGCTTTTGGGCTGAAGGCCTATTTGAACTTGGGTCTCTGTAACTGTTGTACAGCATTTTAACCATTATACATGATATGTAATATTTGTTCTTGGCAGGTTCATGTGAGTATAAACATTCATGCATTGGGCTTCATGTATTGTTTGAAATAAAAAAAAACATATAAGGTCTGTGTGAAACTCAAGAAGTAGACTCACAAGATCAGGAATGGAAATCTGATTGGATGGAAAAACAGTTTTGCATCGGATGGAGATATGTGGCATGATTTTTAAATCAGGTATGCAAAAATATTGATGATCCCTAGATGGCAGCACAGTCATACAGAATACTATAATTTTCCGCAGCCATCTAGCGGTTGCCCATATTTTTCCACTTCTGATAGGATAACCCTAGTAAGAACAAAAGCAGATACTGCCAAAACCCACATTTAAATATCAGAGGATAGGCTTGATTATCACCCACACCTCTGTTGATCAAGCAATATTAAAGCCAGATGTTTACAATTGCAAGACAGTTAAAAAAAAAATACATGTGCCAATGGCACTACATTTATGAATGACAAATGCTATTTCAAAATAGTGTCATTCAAAATGACAATACATAATTATCTTTTTTTTTGTTTTTAAACAATCTCTGCTTTTATTGATGGGGAATTTTGTCTTGTCCCAACTCCCAATTCCTGGAGGTGTGCTAGAAACATTAGATAAACTAAAATGCAGAATTACTAGGACAACACCGACTTTAGAAAATAGAAGGCAATCAAAGATTGCTACTGTGATGAGCACAGTTGTAATTTATTCCTTTATGTTTGTCAAGAGGGGAAAGAAATGTACTTTTGGACACAGAAATTATGGGGACAAGACATAGCCTTTGCTACTGGCTGATATGTGAACCCTAAAGGATAGATAGTTCTTGGCCAGGAAAAAAAAAAAACACTTAGTGATTGGTGATTTCTGTGAGTATTAGACTTCTAGACATGCCCATGCTGATACAGTCTGATAGTCAAATTGATCTGAAATAAAACATTCTGGATCCAGAAAGACGGAAAGACTCCAGCTGAGTGGAATAAAATTGGAAAAGTCAGCTATATTCCACTCAAATAAAGAAGATACCTGTCAGGCCACTCATCCTTATATATTACGAAGGTAATTAAAGTAGCACAACTTAAGCAGATAAGCCTGTAGCCCACACCTGAACTCATAACAATTTCAGTTCATAAGTTCATAACTAACAGATGACAATTAATTATTCAGTCCAGAATCAGTTTGATTAAGTGGACATGGAAATCTTGGTCTCCCATTACATCAAATACATTCTGTGATGTATTCCATCTGCTTCATTCATAAATAGTTAAGCCACAGTAGTGTGTGAAGAGATGGATCTCAATTCCTACTTATAAATAAGTTCAACAATTATTTTAAGTGTGGTTTTCTACATATATATTGTAGATTTTGGGCTAATGCCCAATAAAATATTTCCGTTTTGGGAAACATTTGTTTTAGTATTCAATTTTTAAAAGTTATAGTATTAATTTCAGCTTCAAAATATTTCAAGTAGCTTCATGGGACAAAATATGAGATATAATTAGCAACCTGCAAAATAAAGAGGTAAAGCTTTAATTATTAAAAGTTGGGAAGAATAAAAAGATAATAATATTCAAATATATTTATTTTCAGGTGTCTCCAGACATAGTATCTCCACAGAGAGGCATATGTCCTAGGTCGTCATTTTCTGACAAAATTTTCAGGTGCAAATATTTGTAAGAGTTCAAGGAAATAGTTTTTTAAAATGTTGATTCACATTCAACATGGAAGCGCCAATTGATTTATAGTTCAGAGTTCAAATAGTAATACAGTTAAACAAACTGGAACCCAATTAAGATTTTAATTGCTGATTGGTAATCATTATTTAGCATAAAGAATAATTTTGAAGTGATGTGGAAACTCATGGGTCTTGGCTTCTCCCACTGATTCATTTCTGCATGAGCCAAATCATTCCTAAATTTCTCTAATTCATTTAAGAGATATTGCCAAAATTTTCTTAATTGTTCATAACTATCAACATAACTATACAAAAGAGGATACACAAGCTATAAGATATCTATACAGTTGGGAACAGAAGAAGCTTATTCTGAGATTATTATTCCAATACTGAGATTTTATCTATTGCATACTGTCAATGCTGTTTAATAGAAAATTTCCAGTGTTTCAGACTGTAGTTTTTCCAATCCTATCTGGAGATACAAGGAATTGTACATGGACTTTCCACACTGAGTGTATGTGCTCTGTTCAGTTCAGTAGACTGATCTGTGTGGTCCCCAAATGCAACCTCACTCACCAATAGTTTTTCCAGTTTTCCAAGATGTCCTGGGATTACGAGTATGGACTCTAGACCAAACTCTCAGCAAGTAAGCAGCACTTCTCTGACCCTTGTCATGTCTCCAAATGAAAACAGAATTTAGTATGGGTTGAGGATCACAACCTCAAAGTCAGATGTCATTACAGACCATACTGGAAACTAAAGCTAAGTTTGTAACTAAGTCTGAAATTATCTCAATTAATCTATATCATCAATCAATTTTCTCCTGGCTAGGCATTATGATAGACATAGTCCATATACTGGAGCAAAGCTAACAAAAAATTCTTAAAGGACTATAAGAAATGAAATTTGGTTCCAGGGAAACAAAAGAGATCTTGTGGAGATATAGTGTGGTACAGTGATTAAGCTGTTTTACTAGAATTGAGGAGATCCGTCTTCAGCTCTACCTGTGCTGGAGATTTGGAGCTAGTAATTCAGACAGTACCTCAGAGTATTAGTAAGAGCCATAGTGGTGCAGTGGTTAGAGTGCAGTACTACAGGCTACTTCTGCTGACTGTTGATTGCCAGCAATTTGGCAGTTCAAGTCCCACCGGCTCAACGTTGACTCAGCCTTCAATCCTTCCAAGGTTAGTAACATGAGGACCCAGATTGTTGGGGGCAATATGCTGGCTCTGTAGAACTGCTTAAAGAGGACTGTAAAACACTGTGAAGCAGTATATAAGTGCTATTGCTATTATGTTGTAAGGGGAGGGAATGAGCAGAGGGAATGAGCAGAGGGAATGCTATGAACACCATACGGAAGTTCCTGAAGGAAGAGAAGCATATAATTCTAGCAAATACATAAATAAAATAATAAAACAAAATAAAATAAATTGTCCTTTGGAGAATGCTGGCCTGTTTTTCTAATATCCTATCCCAAAGATATTTTAAACTGATTTCACATATGGGCCAAATGGTTTAGCATGCCTCATCATGTCAAAGACAAAGGCTGCTTTTAAAACAAAGAGGAAAGGAAACCTTCTGAAGTTGCAAGGTCTGTATTATAGTAAGAAAAAAGAAAAGGATTTGTGGAAGATAACATACCTACAAAGCAATGTCAAATAGAAGAGACCGTATGAAGCTAAGGGTTGAAATGCTGGGCTCTTGGTGCTTAGTTGTTTTCTTTTGCAGGCATTTCATTAGCAAGCTATGAAACATTTGCAAGGAAGCACCCAAACTCAGACCGCCCAAGAGCCCAACCACATCAAGTGCTATATAGCCATTTTCTGAAACCAGGAAAAGAAGAAAACTATGGATGGATTTTTTCTTGTCAGTAAAATGAAGGGAAGCGTAAGATTAAAAACCAAATTCTCTTGTGGGCAAAACATTTTAAGTAAAAAAAAATAATCAAAAGGATCAATTTCTTGAAAGCAGCCAAAGGATTAAAGAGGGAGGGAGGACAAATTCTTGATTAAGCAAACTTACTCAAAAGGCTTGGCTTCCCTCTTAACCAAAATCTGAAGGGTTATCTATCTGCCAGGATATTAATGGAAGTGCTCGTTCCAATGACAAAGAAACAAGCCCATCCCAAACCGAAATCTTTAGAAAAACTGGAGAACATGAAGTTGATTTTAAGACATTCTTCAGCAAATTTGTTTCCTTTTGTGGTAGTGGGAGGAGGGGGAGGGGGAGGAAGGTGGAAGCCGCTCCCACCTCCCTCCTCCTCCTTTTTTTTTTTTGGTCTATGAGCATGTGTGACTTCACTGTCCTTTGATTTGGAAGCAAGCTGATTGGCTGGATACGATTCAACACATCCAGCCGGGCAAAAGCTTTGTCTGAGTTGAAGTGAAGTTCCACCGATTTTTAGACGGGAGTCAGCAATCTGGGCTACTTAGCCGCCAGAAGCTGAGGAGAGCGAGCGTTAAAGAGAGTCTCTCTTCGGGAAGAAACCGCGCCGCCGCCGCCGCCGCCGCCGCCGTCGCGCAGCCTCGGCTCCCTTCCTTCGACACTCGGTGAATAATAGCTGCAGCGGAAGGAAGAAGCCTGGATGTGCAAACCTCTCGGACGAGAAGAAGCGGAGGAATCCGAGCCGGCTTGCCTACGGGATGTATACTGGGAGCTCCGCCACCTCGGTCTCGCTGTAGGCAACTTTTCCTGAGCGGCTGGGACGTGGCATTCCGTTTCAGAAGGAAGGTTTGCAAGCGCGGGTTTTTCCCTCCTTTTTTTCCAGCTTTTCCTCCCAATTTCCCAAGGACCAAATGGACGTTGGGTTTGAGGGGACCGAGATTAAGTTAAGCGAATTGCTTTTGTAACTTGTGGGCAGGAAGAAGCCGGGAGCCTGTGCCGCGATGCCGCGTTTGGGTCGAAAAAGGCACTTTATGCTTCTCTTTGCAGTGGCGACCGTCATGTCCTGCTGGGAAGGCGCAGCGGGCAAAAATCTGAAATACAGGATATACGAGGAGCAGAGGGTTGGCTCGGTCATTGCCAGGCTTTCCGAAGATGTCGCCGACGTTTTGTATAGGTTGCCTAACCCTTCTTCGGTGCGGTTCAGAGCCATGCAGAGGGGGAATTCTCCGTTGTTGCTGGTTCGGGAGGACAACGGAGAGATCAGCATTGGAGCTAAAATTGACCGGGAGCAACTCTGCCAGAAAAACTTAAACTGTTCCATAGAGTTTGACGTGATCACTCTGCCGACTGAACATCTGCAGCTTTTCCACGTCGAGGTTGAAGTGTTGGATATTAATGACAATTCGCCTCAATTCTCCAGAGCTCTTATTCCTCTTGAAATCTCGGAGAGCGCAGCCGTAGGTACGCGGATTCCTTTGGATAGTGCTTTTGATCCAGATGTTGGGGAAAATTCCCTCTACACATACTCACTTTCGGCCAACGATTTCTTTACCGTTGAAGTTAGAACGAGGACAGATGGAGCCAAATATGCAGAGTTGATTGTGGTGCGGGAACTGGACCGGGAGCTGAAATCGAGCTATGAACTCCAACTAACTGCCTCCGATAATGGTGTCCCTCAGAGAAGTGGATCATCTCTCCTGAAAATCAGCATTTCAGATTCTAATGACAATAGTCCAGTTTTTGAACAACAGACGTACATTATTCAACTTTTAGAAAATTCACATGTTGGCACATTGCTTATTGACCTCAATGCCACTGACCCAGATGAAGGTGCCAATGGCAAAGTTGTCTACTCCTTTAGTAGTCACGTGTCCCCCAAAATTATAGAGACTTTTAAAATGGACTCTGAAAGGGGTCAATTAACTCTTCTGAAACCAGTGGATTATGAAACCACCAAATCCTATGAAATTGATGCTCAGGCACAAGATTTGGGTCCAAATTCAATTCCAGCTCACTGCAAAATCATTATTAAGGTTGTTGATGTGAATGACAACAAGCCTGAAATCAATTTAAACCTGATGTCTCCAGGAAAAGAAGAAATTGCCTATATTTCTGAAAAAGCATCCACAGAGACTTTTGTGGCCCTTGTTAGGGTGCAAGACAAAGATTCTGGACTGAATGGAGAAGTGGTTTGCAAGCTTCATGGACATGGGCATTTTAAACTTCAGAAGACATACGAGAATAACTATTTCATCTTAACAAATACTTCTTTGGATCGAGAAAAGCGATCTGAATATAGCCTGACAGTCATAGCAGAAGACAAAGGAACTCCAAGTCTTTCTACAGTGAAACATTTTACTGTCCAGATCATTGATGAAAATGACAACCCACCCCAATTTCAGACAAATAGATATGAAATTGTAATTTTGGAAAATAATTCTCCAGGTGCATATATCACCTCTGTTACAGCAACTGATCCAGATCTGGGAGATAATGGGCAGGTGACCTACACTATCTTGGAGACACTATCTATTTTGGGAAGTTCCATAACTACATATGTGACCATTGATCCCTCTAATGGAGCCATCTATGCACTTAGGACTTTTGATCATGAGGAAGTAAACCAGATAGTCTTTATGGTTCAAGCCAGAGATGGAGGAAGTCAACAATTGGCTAGCAATACAACAGTGGTACTAACTATTATTGATGAAAATGATAATGCTCCTTTGATTGTGGGGCCTGCACTGCACAACAATACAGCAGAGATTTCAATCCCCAAGGAAGCTGACAGTAACCATTGCATCACTAGGATAAGAGCCATAGACAGAGACTCAGGGGTTAATGCAGAACTAAGCTGCTCATTAGCAACTAGTAGTGAAGAAGGCCTCTTTGTGATGGATCCACAGACATGTGACATTTATCTTAATGCTAGTATTGAATCTGTTACATCAACAGAATGGGAACTTACAGTGGTTGTTAGGGACAAAGGAAGCCCTCAATTGAGTACTAAAGCACTTCTGAAATGCAGTGTTGTTAAAAATATTTATCAACTTTCATCTACAGAAGCAACATACACAAGCCAACCTCCTCTAGATATTTCCATGATCACAATAATATCATTAGGAGCAATATGTGCAGTTTTGTTGGTGGTCATGGTCGTCTTTGCTACAATGTGTAATCGTGAGAAGAAAGACACCCGGTCTTATAATTGTCGTGTTGCAGAATCCACATACCAGCATCATCCCAAAAGGCCATCAAGACAGATTCACAAAGGGGACATTACATTAGTGCCTACCATTAATGGTACTTTACCAATCAGATCCCACCACAAAGCTTCACCTTCATCATCTCCAACCCTGGAAAGAGGGCAAATGAGCAGTCGACAAAGCCATCACAGTCATCAGTCTTTAAATAGTCTGGTGACCATCTCATCAAATCACGTACCTGAGAATTTCTCTCTTGAGCTCACTCATGCTACTCCTGCTGTTGAGGTAAGATCATACAGATTACATTAATTAAAAATCATTCACATAAATAAGCAAATCCTATGTCTATTTAGTACAATAATTTGCAATGAATCCTTTCATATCATCGTATTATATAAGATGACTGTACACTCCTATATTTACGATATATATTTATACATATCCAGAAATTTACTGGGAATATACATTCACTGCAGTTTCCCAAGTACACAAACACACACATACACCACACAGAGTGTGTATTGGATGGATAATATTTTCATTTCTTATTACACTACTTGGGTAAAAAAAAAAAAAGACAAAATCATGGAATTTCAGCTGTGAATGTGATTTTAGTTTCTGTACAAATCACAAAAGCCATGAATAATAGGGTAGCTAGATCTTGCTACTCTTGCTATCCAAATTTCAGATGACCACTAGATGGGAGCAAAGCACATTATTTTGTTGCACCTAGTGGTGATCCAGAGTTTTGCAATCTATATCTATTACCCTAATTCGTAGTAATTGGTGCAATATTAATTTATTTGGTTAAAATTTAGTTAATATTGATACAATATTAGCTGAATTTTAATAGCCTATCAGTAATATTACTCCAGTTAATTAAATATATTTTAGAATTAGTCCTTAGAAATCTTTCCAGGATGTAAAAATCACATGTTCTTCTATGCTTCAGTATTTCAATGTACTTATAATGTATTTGCATACTTAAAGGGGACAAAAGAATGAAGAAATATATTACTAACACTAATGAAGTTTTAACTACATCTGTTCTAACAGCTTGTGTCAACTGTGCATGCAAATTTTTAATGAATGTGTTTAAGGCCTTTGAGCCATAGCTCAGAGCAGTTAAATATAGCTACTTTTTCACTGACTTCAGTGGAATTAAAACTATTTAGAGCCAAACACTTGGATTTAACTAGCTTAAGGTTCAGAGTTAAGGTTTTTATATGCTTTGGATCATGAAGCTAAGGTTCAAGGCTAAAATATATCTAATACACTAAGATGTCTATAACTGTCTTTTATATTGAATTCTGTTTCTTATGACAGATTGTTTTAACAGAGTTTATGGTTTTAATAAAGAAAGTGACTAATATACATAGATTTTCTTTGATAAGTTATATGGATAACCTTTGCAAAGATTCATTGTTTTTCTTGCTGTTGTATGTTTCATAATAGGTGTCTCAGCTTCTCTCCATGCTTCATCAAGGCCAATATCAACCAAGGCCAAATTTTCGAGGCAACAAGTATTCCAGAAGCTACAGGTAAGGATTTTCTTTGGCAAAGTTCAGAGTAGCATTATCAGAGGGTATAGGCTTAGCTCATGAGCTAATGAAGCCCAGTTCAATCCACATGTCTCTTTTGTTTTATCACAGATATGCCCTTCAAGATATGGATAAGTTCAGCCTGAAAGATAGTGGCCGTGGTGACAGTGAAGCAGGAGACAGTGATTATGATTTAGGGAGAGATTCTCCTATTGACAGACTTCTTGGAGAAGGATTCAGTGACCTTTTTCTTACGGATGGGAGAATTCCCGCAGGTAAAAATTCAGTGAAAATTAAGAATTCAGCTTATTTTCAGCATTCTCAGACAATAATAAATAGACAAATTTGTACTGGTGAAAAATAAACTCTTATCTTCTTTTTCCCTTTCTACTGAACAACACCTAGAACTTGCTCAAGAATTTAAAACCAATATATATTTGCCCTATGAAAGCTTAAAAGTTTGTCTAAAACTTAATAGTCATAATTCTCTGGAATACATTTCTATCCAGGGGTGGGCTTCAAAAATTTTAGCAAGGGGTTCTCTACCCGGCTGCTGGGTGGGCGTGGCCATGGTGGGCGCGCCTAGTTGGTCTCCTGCATCATAGTGTGGGGGAGGGCTTTTTGCCCTCCCTGGGTTCCAGAGGCTTTCCTTGAGTCTCTAGGAGAGCAAAAATGGCCTCCCCAGGCTCTGGAGGCTGGAAATGGGCCCATTTCCAGCCTTCCCAAACTTCTGGTAGGCCCATTTTTTTGCCCTCCCCAAGCCTCTGCGCATGCCCTGCACTTACCTGCATCCAAAACGGGCTGTGTGGGGACTTCCAGGGGAGTGGGGCAGGCGGGGCAGGGCCAGTCAGGAGTGGGATTTGAGGTTCTCAGAACTATACAGAATCTTAGCTAGAGGTCCTCCAAAACCCCTGTGAATCCCCAGCAGCCCACCACTGTTTCTATCCCATGAACGGTGTCTTTAAATTTTCCCTAAATTGAATTGAATCCCCAAAATTGTAAGAAGGTATCAAATGTTAATGGCAAATAGATATTGTTTGCTGTTAATGTTAATGGCGAGTAGTTTACCAAATGCTTGGACTACAACACTGTTTTAATCACAGTACTGCTAAATCACAAGTAAGAAATCCATGTCTATGCTTGACTTTCTGGTCTCCTTCTCTGATCTTGGCCCACTTCAGGTTGTTCTTTTACTGGGTGTATTTGGGTGTGGCCAAAATAATTGGCTTTTGGGGGGGAAGTTGGAGTTTTGGAATATTAAATACATCTTACTTTTCAAATCCCTTGCCCCCATGGCCTGAACATCCTTCTCATGAGAAGGTGAACATCCCTATGACAATTTGAGGCAAAATAAAAATAAGAAGGGTTGCAAAGTAATATCCAAAACCATCATTAGAGTTGTAAACCTTACAATGGGAATCTTGCTACTTTGCACTCAAAGTAAGTATAAACCAATCTTTATAGATTAAAGATCCTGCCTTAAATTAGGCATGCATTGGTTAATTACTTATTGTTACTAACTTGGATGGGTATCAAGTGAATTGCTTATGAATGTATTGGTTCACAGATTCCATGTTAAAGATTACAGATGTATACAGGGTTATAGCATGATAATTTTTTTCTGTATATTTTAAGAACACTAAATATTTTGGAAGACTCTCAGGGGTAAATATAATATTATTCAACTAAGATATTGATACTAATAAGGGAAGCATTTCTGATTGCTATATTTTTGTTTCATCTTGCAGATATTATCCATATTTAAATCTAGTGGTAAAGCCTATTGTTAGTGTAGCTATTTGTATTCACACTAATATCATGGTCTTCTCCAAATGTTAGTTTTCCAAACATGAGGGCATAAGGTCATCATTATAGGCTTGCTGGTTCATACCAAGGTCTACCTTAGTATAGCATCTGTTTCTCATAGTAGCTAAATTCACAAGCCAGGTGCTCACAGGCAGGAGATAGACACATGCAGCTTTTCTACTATTGTTCCCATGCAACTGCATGGGGAATATTGCTTCCAGTCCGGATGATAAATCTTTAAGACTGATAACATATGATGGACCTGTCTTCCATAAATCTACCCAACTCCTTTTCAAATAATTCAAAACACTGACCCCTCACTGTGTGTTTTGATAGGTCTAACCAGAATCATGCACTGGAGTTCATGAAAGCAAGTCTGTTTATTTACAGTAGAAAAAATGCAAAGGTTTGAGTTTTAGTTAACATTCATAAATTGAATGTTTGATTATACTCCCAAGTATTTATATATGTAGGAGCAAGTGTGGTGTACTGTAATAGTCAAAATCTTGAATTATGATGGGTAAATGCAGTGTCAAATACATCCCTTAGCCATGAGTTTTGGCTAACCTTCTCTCAACTAAATTTCCATCATAGGTTTGCTCTCACAGGAAGAAATGGAGAAGGAACTGCTACGTTGCACTTTGCACACTTGGAAGAGAGAGTACAATATTTGCTTATCAAACAAAGGTGCTTTGAAGCTTACTAGTAAATTCTAAAACACAGCCATTTAAACTTTTTCTATAAAAGTCTATAACAAGCATAATAGCAATAGCAAAAGTACTTACAGTATATACCACTTCATAGTTACAGAGTCAGCATATTGCCCCCAATAATCTGGATCCTCATTTTACTCACCTCAGAAAGATAGGTGGCTGAGTCAACCTTGAGCTGGTTAGGATTGGACCAATGGCAGTTGGCAGAATTAGCCTGTAATACTGCATTCTAACCACTGCACCACCATGTTTCAAAACTAGAGCAGTTATAAGAAATCCCAGTACATATTCTGAATTAGATGAGTAATATCTGATATATGGAGTTCTAGATTCTGTAGATCTAGAATCTAAATGGCAGCTAATTGTCTAACTAGATTAAAATATATACATCAAAATGGAACGCAACAAAATGATTTATGAAAATTAATGGCAGGAGTTGATGCCACATTGCTCTCTTATTGTCACTAATTAAGAAAAAAGCCTTTCACAATTTAGATTTATGAAGTTGATTAAGAACTTAAAACTATGTGCATTCAAAACTAGGGCAATCTTTATAATTAGGCTGTTTTATTCTTTTCTGGGTAGCAAAAAGGTATTTTCAGCAAAAGTTATGAGAAAAATATTTGAAATGCGATATAACATTTCATATAACCATAGTACCAAAGTAACACAAACATGAACCAATATTTTTCTACTGTAAAATTTCAAATATAATCAAATAAATAATTAAACCCATGATTAGACTGGATTTATACTTTATTTCATTTTAAAGGAAAATGAAATTTAGCTTTTGTTCTTACCTTCACATAGTTCTTTGGAATATAAATTCAGAATGCCATTCAAAGGCCAAGCTTTTGACAAAATTAAGCACTACTATTATAAGATTCAGTGAAGGATTGAAGTACTGATTTATTGAATGTGTTTTTTGAGCAGAAAATATATGCATGTTTGTTCAAACTACTTTTAAACTAAGGTTTTAAACAGTCAACAGTAACACCTTGAATTGTGCCTGAAATCTTGCAGGTTTTAACATCTGGTTTCATTTTGCTTTCAGCAATGAGATTATGCACAGAGGAATGCAGAGTCCTGGGACATTCTGACCAGTGCTGGATGCCACCACTGCCTTCCCCATCTTCTGATTATAGAAGCAATATGTTTATACCAGGAGAAGAATTTCAGCCTCAGCAAAGCCAGCCACCACAGGAGGAGGAGGATCATCAGGAGGTTGAATCGCCTGAAAAGAAAAAGAGCTTTTCAACTTTTGGCAAAGACAATCAGAATATGGAAGAAGCAGCTGACATATGTACCTCATCTCTACTCTCTGAAATGAATAGCGTCTTCCAACGTCTCTTGCCTCCTTCATTGGATGCTTACACAGAGTGTAATGAAATAGAGCCTCCCAGCTCATTAGAGCGCAGGAAAGGACATTTGCCAGCCAAGACTGTAAGCTATCCACAAGGGGTGGCAGCCTGGGCAGCCAGTACTCATTTTCAAAACCCTGCAAACAGCACTGGGCTTACTTTGGGAACTCATTCAGGTGCCCAGCCTTCTTCAAAATGGCTACCTGCCATGGAGGAAATTCCAGAGAACTATGAGGAAGATGAGTTTGACAATGTGCTTAACCACCTTAGTGATGGTAAACATGAACTCATGGATGCTAGTGAACTGGTGGCAGAAATTAACAAGCTGCTACATGATGTCCGGCAGAACTAGAGTGTCTTATTTCATAGCATCTTAATTTTCCATATTTTTGGAAAACGAAGAGATGGGAACCCATAATGAAAAGAACTGGCATTGCCAATTAGTTACATTTATCATAAATGTGTCTGTGTATGTTGAATCTTAAAATACTGTATTTTCATATGTACACAATGCAAGTGTGATTATCTTTAACTGTATTTTAAAAATACATTTGTATCTTATATTTATGCATAATTTAACAAATAAATTTTATTTTTGTACTCCCATGGCAAGCATGTTTTTCTACATATAAACAGCTGACACCATTTGTGTCAACTTACAGTATTTCTATCACAAGTGTATAAATACTCAAAAACTAAGGGATGCCATTTTCCATGGGTTTCTCTACAAGCGTTTAATGTTATGATACAAAATTGAATAAATTGAAACTTTATCCAAATGGAAATTTCAATAATTAATGATCTAAGATCTTATTGCAATGTTTCAATTCTTATAATAAAGAGTTGTCAACTTTCTGGAAGCCTAGAATTTTTTATTTTTTATTTTCAAACCTGGATAATTCATTCTCCTATATAATTAAAAAAGGAAAGATGTACATTATTTCAATTGTAAATCATACCCTAATTCCCAAATGGTCAAATAATTCCAAGAATGAAATTGTGTATGTTTTACATTTGGGTTCTATTTAATTTAATTTAATTTAGCATATAGATTGGAATTGGTCCACTGAAATCAATTGTACAGCTCTGTTTTGGTTAAGTTCCCTTTCATGTACTGGGTCTAATTTTCCTTCCACTCTAGCCATGAATTATGTTTTGCTTAATGTTTGCATCTGTTCCATTATTGAAGCATGAGGTATAAATGATGCTAATATACATTTTTAACTAGCATTGAGTCTGACAGACATAGTTGTCTTCCAGAAAAAGCAAAAAAAAAATAAAAAAAAAATAAAAAAAAATTAAAACTAACAAAGTTATTCCACACATATGTTTCAAGTTAATAGGCTCCTTCCAAATAAATAAACATTCCTATTGCAATAATAAACTTTTCCAAATATATATACTATATTTCTCACAGGAAATCTATGGTCAAGCAAGCCACTTGCTGATTCAACCAAAATTTAAATCTGCAACAGCTAGCACTGACAGCTGGCTAGAAAAACTATGATATGCCCAAATGATTGTAGGCAAGCGTGGCTTTTCGACATAGATTATTTTTCTTTCAATGTGGTACATTGTGCAGGAATGAAATAGAACCAGACAGCTGCTTCTGATGTTGTGAGAAGGTAGAATATTATCAGTAGTTTATTTACTTTTATTATCATATCTTTCACAATGGTGAAGATCCTTTTAGTTCACTAATTGTTAAACTGGACTTGATTAGGAAGGTAATCTGGGATTATCCTGGGGCTAATGGTGTAATTTGTGATTTTGCTTGTTTGTTTGTTTGTTTGTTTGTTTGTGTCAAGGATCAGTGGGACTGGTACCTGGGAAAACCTCCCCGGGATTTTGTTTGGATGGTGGTAGAAGAAGAGTATAATGACATTATGCAACATCATGAAATGCATAAGGGGGTCAACAGTTTAAAAATGATTGTATTTCAATGTTCTGCTTCAAGCATCAAAATAACATTACTGATTTGGAGGGTTCATGTATAGTGCCATTTTCTGTTCTACTTCAGGCAGCGACAGGTCTTGGATCAGTCTTGAAATTTTGCATAGTTCTGCTTACTCTTATTTTTAATCTATTTATATATACACATATGAAATGAAGAGTCTAGCTCAAAGCCACCTGTGGATATGAATAGGAGAGGGTTAAATCTTTTCCTTCAACTATTTCTCTCATTGGCTAATTTCCTTCTCATAGTTCTGTTTTGAAAGAGGCACATGTATGTTCTCATGTGTATTTAGTGTCACACGAGAACATGGATGTCAATCTATGCCATGTAGTAATATAATCCAGAGATACACAGCAAAGTTTTCTGGCTACATGTGGAACACAGATCAAAAAGCTAGAGTTGTGGTCAAATTATTAAATTCATGAACATTCCCGTATTAAATATGTTCCATTTGTTGATTTGGTTTTAATTAATGTTACTTACAACATGTCATTACTGTTATGACCACATCCTCTTATTTGATCTGTCTCAGCCAATTTCTAGTGTAACCTAATCTAGAAAAAAGCTGAAACAGCTGTAGATAACCTGATATTGTATCCCTTAAGGATTTTCTGGTTTGTTGTTATAAACATTAAGGGTTGATAAGAATAATTGGTCTCCTTGCTACTCTTGTGTACTATTTGGGTACATTGTTTAATATAAATATCTCTAAGCTTTGAATTGGAAATTGGAAACTATACATGTGTACGTGTTAATTCTACAAATGAGTTAAACTCCATACCTTTCTAGAATCTGTCTTCAGCTTGCAGCTTCCTTTGTGGTGTTATGAAGAGAAACTCAGGGTGCCAGACAATGATATTTTTATCCTTATGCATAATTTTGCTCAACTTTATTTCTAGAACCAGTAAAACCAATGCTTTTCAGCAGAGCCAAGTATGTAAGAATTTATCCCTTTGCAAAGAGATGATAGAGGAAAAGTATCAAGACTAAAAGCCTTTTTTTCATTTTGAGCTTCAAAGCAATTTTCCACACTCATATCATTGTAGAGATAAGCACACGAGTTGTTGGAAAGGCAGGCTAGCCAAAACCTTCTAGGGAATTAAATGGTATTGGAAGCGTTATTTATCTACCAAAGGGAGAGAAACTTCTACCTTTTCCTCCTCCTCCTCTGAAAATTATATCTGCAGTAATAAGTTGAAAATGAGATTCAGGAGTTACAGTTGAGATGTGACTGAGAAAATTACATTTGAATGAATTTCAATAAATATATTAAGCTTTTAAATAGCATTTGGGAACTAGGCAAGGAATCACTAAGCAAAGAAGGAAATGGCTGCATTTTTCATAAGCATCCAGCTTTGCAGCATATTGGAGAATGAAATAAACACAGCAGGGATTCAGTGGCAATTTCCAACTATGTAAAGATAGAAAACACCAAGGAGGAAAGATGCCAGCAGTAAAATGTAGGTATGTGCAGTCACCCACCAACCTCAAAACACAAAGGAGAATTGAGACAAGCCATCATTTTGCCAGCAACTATAGCAATACTAGAGCAAAAACTGGCTCAGTGAAGCTATACCAGCATGAAATGTGTACTGCTTCATCGATGTTCCCTATTCTGTCACTAATGTCTCTGGATTTTCTGCAAGGTAATGCATGCTGAAATCTAACAGATTTATGCACTGTGACCTTGACCTTGTGAATATGTCAAATAAGGGGGAAACACTACTTTAATATCAGTACCAATTCACCAAGAATGAATTAATGCTAACTCACTCATGGCCTGGGAATATTATGAAGGCAATGTCAAGGGAATAGGACAGAAAATATATGTTGCCAAGTTTATGCTTGCACCTGGATAAGCGCAAATGGACTAGGTGCTTTTCACTCTAATATATCCAGCTCATTGTACGAGATGAAATCATTGTGGGATGGTACCTTAGAAACAAATAAACAGAAATATATACAGTCTATTTTCTAGTAACCCCAGGAATGAGAAGCAAAGCAACTTCATGGAGTTAGAGAATTCTATGCAATGTGTTCTTTTTTTTTTCCTTTTCAGAAACTAAGAAAGAGAATAGAAGTCCCAGCTTTTCTTGCCTTCCTGTTAAAGCTGACAAATGAATTGTTCATAGCGAAAGGGAGGGAAAATGCTAAAATCATTATCCATAGCTTGGATAATCATTATCCATAGCTTGGAATCATTATCCATAGCTTGGTGTTTCTTTTGATCTTCCTGCATGGAAGTTATGAGGACTCAAACATGTTGTAGGAAACAAAAAGACATTAATGACTGGTCACAAAATATATGATCCTGAAGATGAGCATATGAAAATGACAGTTTAATGTATCAAACAATTCATCTTGAATATTGTATGTGCCAAAATACACAGTGAATTAGCTAAAATTATGACCATATACTCCCTGAAGTTATGACACTCAATTTCCAAAGTCTAGGATACATGTTTTCTTTTCCCATGTATATTTAGCTTTTTCAAGAAGAATAAATGCCAAAAACGCCTCCAGATATAAGAGAGTATATTGGATTACGTTCACTTTCCACAATCTATTGAGGATTAACAGCTGGAGATGCAAGATCTTTAAATCTAGAAGACAAACAGAAAAACTGCAACTTTTGTTTTAAACTAATGTCTCACTCAGATGGCACTAATTTAATAATGGGGATATCTGATCATTTCCAATGAATTATCAAATATTGTGACTATTTTCTCATGCTGGAAGATATAGTTTTTCCTTAAATACATTTCCATAGACTTCATGAAAAATCTATAGATGCATATGTCAACATACAATATTCATTAAAGTAATTAATTAATTAATTAATTAATTAGTTAAATTAAAACACAATAACACTGACTTATATTAATCACCAGAATAAATACCTCAGGTTCAAGGAAATTACACAGATTGTGGTATTTTTCTTTTCTTTTTTTCAGGCATGAAGAAGTGAAAGAATTTATTTCATATCTGCTTACCATTTGGTATGGGATAGGGTAAACTAACTGAAACTGAATCCAAAGAGAAAACTAAATGAAACATATAAACATAAAAATAAAGGAGATGTAATGCCTGGGAAATGTTTACTAGTACACAAAGCATCCAACTGTAACATAAATTAATGAGATATTGCCATGTAAGCCAAAAAATCTTTGTGGTGAGACAATCTAGTGAGACAAGACCATTGAAAAGTAGGTGTGCTTAATTATATTTCAAAGTGTATATAAGCTAGTCATAAACCTCCATGAGATGAAACTTTGATGAGGTCTAAATTGGAAGATGTTGCATATTTTCTGGATTTTTGGATTATTTAACTGGCAGAAAGAATGAACTGATCTTCCTTTCTTTTTATATTTTGTATTCTTGAATATTTTTTAAATTGCTGTCTTTGATTAATATTCTTTGATTACCATATTGGCTTATGTTATTACGTTATTTTCTTATCCTGTCTTGGAATAAAGCCTTAGTACTCATGCTATGTAAACATTGTATCCAGATCCAAAAGAACTGATGATCCTATCTGGCTGGGCTGGGACATAGCAATCCATATGCAGACACCCAAGAAAACAGTTTTTACAGCTGAGAGTTGGTGTCATTTAGATTCTTATAAGACATGATTTTCATAAGGAGCTCATAGAAAAAAGTTGGGTGGCAGATATGAAGTGGCAAAGATATAAGCACTGAAAATATTTAAGAAGGCCATGGGAAGAAGATGCTTGGAAATGAAGACTAACAGCTAAAATAGCTAACATAAACAATTCTACTGGCCGTTGAACATGGATTGTTGATTTCAGGCCAAGAAAGAGCAACTAATGATCTTTAAATAGATTAGGCAATGTTTGCTTTGCTGAGGGCTCATTCATTCATGAAACATTTGAAGTCT